TATTGGAAATGCTGTAAACGAGTATATACATACACATATATCTTTTTGTTATTTCAATATATCATTCTGAGAATTCCAAACTGTACCAACAATTGTTTGGAATAAAGTGAATGATTATTGTATTTTTGAGATCAGTGGGGATTTTTAATTTAGAAGTAGTATTCATCATGGACTGATATTAGTTGAGGAACCATTGGAAATCTGGGAGCACTGGACAACTGTTTCATCCTAGAATGGAACTCCTCGTCAGTCTGCACTCACGACCTCGCCACAGATCGAACTCATGACCTTCAGGTTTCACGGCGAACGCGTTAACCATTCAGCCACTTGGTCGGTTTCCAGTGACTTGCTTCCAGAGGGATATCATGAAGCTCTAATGAGAAGCCGTGACCTGTGGGGTCAACCAATCGGAAGTGAAGTGGATACTAACTGAAGACCTTGGGTGACAGTCGCGCTATGTGGTGAATTGACAGAAGTTGGAAATTGTGAACCACTGGAAACCGACCAATTGGCTGAATGGTTAACGCGTTCGTCGTGGAACCTGAAGGTCATGAGTTCGATCTGTGGCGAGGTCGTGGGTGCGTACTGACGAGGAGTTCCATACTAGGATGAAACAGTTGTCCAGTGCTCCCATATTTCCAATGGTTCCTCAACTAATATCAGTCCATGATGAATACTACTTCTAAATAACTATTACTGTTATTATTATTTTGTACCTCTATTCTTGAGATAGAAATGTGTAGGAAGTTAACTTTGGTAGCACGCAACTAGTTATTTCTATTAGCATCCATTTTTATGAGTTGCAGTTGTTTTTAATATCTAGTAAAGCTTACCACGCAGCAGCGAAATGATCCTACTTTCTTCTCTCCAACTTCACTAACTACAGTGTACATAAATTATATATTGTTGTTTCATAGAAGCTTAACCGGTTTAGACTTTATTATTTCTTCATGCTTTTAATTTCCCAATGTTATAGTGGATCGACTTGAGTGATCTTTGTTGGCATATGGGTTCCTACACAGGTGCCTTGATATTGCAGGTACATCCAGCCGACAAATGCTGTGTAGGACGAAACCCGCCTTCAATGAGTGATACTGTTGCCTAGGAAGCTTGAATCCAGAACCTTTCCCTTAAAACATCAGAGAATTATCCACTAGGCTGACAAGCCATGAAATGCACGTTATGGTTTACGCTACTAACTGCTAAGCAATCTTACCAGTAATTGTGGTTATTTGTATGGTTTATACGAAAGGTTATTTGAGACGCCTTTCAGTGGTGAAGTGGGAGATTTTAAAACGTGTTTTATTGTCAAGAAAAACAAATTGCTTCCTGGTGGGGTCATGGTCGTGCTCGGCTGAAGAGTCCTAGAATGATACAACTACTTTCCATTGCTTTCATGTTTTCAACGTTTCTCCAATTGATTTCAGTCCTTGATGAATACCAACCTGAAGTCAATAGATAAATCGCTACAAATATTCAAAGTAGAGTTTAATCTAATTTAGTGATGACTGACATTTTCTTAATCAACGCTGATATCACTAGATGAAAATGGTTATTCAGTTAATTGTTCATGTTTAGAGGAATTCACTTCCCTGTACAAAAAAAGCCGTACACTTTCTCGCTTTATACAGTCTACTTTTTCTGAAACTTCCCTTAACGATTTTATATGTATAAGTTAATTTTTGTACCAAATGGGACTTTTTTTGCATATGTCTGCATAGCTCTCTGTGCACAATAGTGAATCCCATGGAGAAAATAATACAAAGTCCCATTATGTCATGACATAGTTTTTTATGACTCCTACTGTTTCCGTTTAGTCGCCGATTGCCTCATCACAAAATGTTGGTAGAAGTAGGTCAAGGCTGGAAAAAGGCCCGAGGTGGCCAAAAAACATGGCACCAATGTATGAAGTGTTTGACTGTTGGTTTGAGCTGCTTGGGGCGATACAGATTAGCCAGTTGGGGTCCGCGGGACAAGAGGAACCAGTGGTTGGAGACTCTACGTGATGCATCATGGCTGAGAACCGATGTCAGTGGCGCAGATGTATGCACACATTATACTCATCTTAACCACTATGCGCTATACCGAATCTCACCACTTTCTCATTCTTCCTTTCTCTCTTTTCGTACTTTATATTTCTTTTGACTAAGTTTTCTTTTTTTCATCTTCCACTTGACTGGCTTTTTTAATTGATGTACTGATATGAGGTGTGGCAATTGGAACCGTTGCGCAGTAAACCTGGTCCTAGGTTGACATTGATGATGAATGACTGTCTCCGATCTAAGCAAACCAAAGAAATGTGAAAGTAGCGTCAATTTACCATTGTATTATATCGTCACTTTTGAAATGAAAATTTTGTTTAAGTTACACCTTGTAAATAAATTTAAGAATTTTAAACTTTCTTCTTAAAAGTAATGAATAGGATGAGTTATCAAGAGATTTGGTTTTCTATGGGACGGAAATAATTCAGTCAAAGTTTATCGACTTAATACTTTAAGTAAAATCTAATTTGTTCTGATGTATTCTTGAGTGGACACGTGAACAATAGCCTTCAGAATCTAGCTTTGATGATTGCTCATTTCATCGGTAAATAAGAAAGGCAGTAAGATAATAGAAAGCATATTGCAACATGAAAATAAATACATAATACAACAGCTTATACATATTCACAATGACCTTGATCATTTCTAGTCCTATCTATTATCATTATTATTAATTTTCCCTTGGGTTCCTAGTGCGACATAGGGCTTCAATAGCACGCTTCCATTGCACTCTCTTTTCTGCAGTCTTTTGGACCTCGCTCCACGACTACCGTCATATGATCTCCTCCATGTTACCCTCACCTCGGACGCCCAACTCATCGTTTTCCACTTGCATTACATTCGACGGCCAGGTCTGGCCTGGTGCGTGATGTCACCAGTCGTCGTTCTCAGTGTATGCCCAATCGATGTCGACTTTCTTCTGCATATTTATTGAGCCATAGCTTCTTGGTTGGCTTGTTGCCAGCCAGAGTGAGTTCCTTGCTGCTTATTCTTTCTGGTCACCTGATCTTCAGTTTTGAGTGAGGGTAGGCTTTAGCTTGTTAGAAGTGCTTTTCGTAATGCGCCGTCAAGTTTCTGAACTATATAGCAACAATGACTTGACTGGATTGGTGTTGAAAATCTGGATCTTGTTCACGCTTTATGCTGAGTGCGGTAGATCTCCACACTGATTTTAGATTAATAAAAGTCCATCGTGCTTTTCCAATCCTGGTTTTGACATCCTCATCTGTGCCACCGCCGGCTGTAGTTGAAACGATTCTGCCTAGGTTGGTAGGTGGGTGAAAGAGACTACTTAGTTTAAGTTTCTCCCGACCACGGTGATTGGGGCTTGTTGTTGATACTGTTGTTGGTTGGGCATCATTATCACTTCTGTCTTCTCTACATTCACTTGAAGTCCCGTCTTCGCTGCCTCTTCTGTCAACTTGTTAGTTTTCGCCTGTACGTCTTCGAGTTTGTGCGACAAGACACTAGACATAAATCATCACGGGTGCAATCCAAGACTTCTAGTGTGTTTTCATGGGTCCAGGCAGCGTATGCCCATCTTCTTGCTCCTCATGGTCTGCTGCATGATCCAGTCAACCACAATCAGAAAGATTACGGGTGAGAGTAGACAGCCTTGTCTTACTCCTTCTTGCCTTCACTTCAAGGGTGTCAATTAGCTTTCCATTAGGGATCACTTGGCATGTGGCGTCGTCATATTGCTGTTGAACGGGGCTGATAAAGATTTGTGGCCTTTCCTCGTGTTGAAGCAGCTACCTGGAAAATTATTTCTCGATCGACGATGTCGAAGATCTTCTCAAAGTCGATAAATTTGAGGTAGAGTAGAGTTTACTGCCAATCTATGCTGTGTTCTATGATGTCGCGTAGTGTCACGTTGCAATTTGTTCCGTACATGATTTGTTTCTCCCTCAGTCAGCCAGCCTGCTCTGGTCGTAATTTTGAATGCAGAGCATTAAAATTTAGTCTCTCTAATATGATATGGCATAATATTTTGCTTGAGGTGGACAGGAGCATGATTCTTCGCCAGTTCTTGCAAAGGCATAGGTCTCCCTTCTTTGGGAGTTGGACAAGCTATCTCTCCTTTAAATCAATCTGCAGTTACTTTTCCTTCCTTCCAAACCTTGTGCAATAGAAGTGGTGCGAGCATGTCCGCGGTTGTCTCTACGTCTGTTTTCACTGGTAGTTCTGGACAAGTTGCAGATGGTGGTCTATTCAAGAGTTTTTTGAAGTGGTCAGCCCATTGTTTCGTTTGTTTCTCCTCTTTGCCAACTAGCTTTGCTTCATTATCTTTCATTGGTTTCGTCTGAAGGTCATATTCTATTGATTTTACCTCTTCAGTTATCCTAATATTTATATATAGGTTTATATGCTTTTCCATGAAACTTCGAAAGCATTACGATTTGTCCTGGAATGCTCTAAAGCTTCTTATGGGATTTTTCCAATCTTATAACACACTATAACTTTACTAATGATTCTCAACCTTCAGGCGATATTAACTGTCTAGCAATATAGTTATAACTAAAATACTCAGTTTTCTTTACCTAGGATATTTACCTACAAAGAATCATGTTTTCTGTTTACTTGTTTGTGCTACTCAATTTAACCAAGGGAAAGCATCTAGAAAAAAGTATGAAGACTTCGTCTTTATCAAGATATAATGATTAACATCTGATATTTTCTACTGGAAAACCAGCGAAAATCTGATAGTGCTGGACAGCTGTTTCCTAGTGTGGGACTCCTCAGGAATAGATATCTTTGACGATAGTCATGCTGTATCACTCTGACCCCGTGGGTGAATGGTTAACCTATTCGCCAAAAAACCTGGAGGTTGTGAGTTAGGTTGCTGGAGGCTTCTGTATGCGTACTGATGAGAATTCCTGTACTAGGATTAAACAGTATTTTTTCCAAATCTTGAGTTCACTGCTACATTTTTAAAACTTACGTATTTTTTAATTTTAGTCTACAGGTCGTAAAACCGAAGAAGATATATTGCTGCATATCCAGGGGAATAAAGTGCTTGATTCCGTCAACTTACCAATATATCCGTGTCCAACATCAGTCTTTGATCAGCCAACAACATTCACTGAAACTATTGGTGATGATTTTGGTGATAAATGGACAGTTTATTATCGTAATCCAAATATTCCAAGTGTTAAAATTGAATCAGTGAACAATGAATCATCTAATCTACTTGACTTATCAATACCGAATAGTTTATCATTAAAACGAAAACAGTCAAAAAGACCTTTTCTCCAATCAAATAATACTATAATACCAAATCATTGTGATAAATTTCAACTGAGATTAGAAGTTCCTGAACAATCTATTCATCGAGTATTACCTAAACTTATGAATGAAAAGAATATCAATAAAATATCTTTAACAGAAAATACTAAAGTTGATACTATAAACTTAAAACAGAAGCATAAATATAAACGATTATATTCAATCAAACAAACAGAATGTCTTATTGAAGCTATAGAATGTTTAACAAATTCTATTGAAAGAAATAATTTGAATATTGAATTAGAATATAAAGAAAGACAAAATTTATTTAGTTTAGATCAACGTAAATCATCGCCAATTCAACATAATGATGTAATTTATCATCGAAATTCTTCATTAACTGGACGTATTCCTCGTCAACGTAATTATAATACAAAATATGGAGTAGTTAATCGACATGAATATCGACGAAAATCTGCTACAATGAAATGTTTAGAAGAATTAACACAGAATAGAACTGAAAAGGTAAGTATTCACTTATCTTCATTTCAGTAAAATGCAAAAATTCCCATTTAGACATTTAGTAAAACAAACAGTGTGAGTGAAGAAATATTTCTTCTCAATTATTAGTTCTTCATCAATGAATAGCATTTTCAAACGTAATATTATTACATACCAATCTACTGGTGAGACTTGTTCAATGAAAGCTTATCAATCTCAAAGTATCAAGAAGCTGATAATTGATGAGGTAATTAAGACGATTAACTAAAGCATAGATTAATTAGAGTAGAAAGATTTTGTGAACAGGTTCTTACACAACTGATATTTTGTATAATGGTGAGTAAAGAGCGAAAATGGACTGTTATGTAAAATGGCAAAATGTTGACGGTAATTAGAGACAGTAGGGGGAGAGGAAGGTGACCAAATCTGTAATAATAATAAAGACAGACTACCTGACTTCTCCTCTTCTATGTGCATTTACCAGTTCAAATGCTTCTTTGGAGCTAGTTACATTCGACGTACAGTTAGGCAAGTCCATTGCCGAATCGCCGAGCATCACCCTTCATGGCTGAGTAAGGGGGAAACCAGATTGACACGAAGCTCAATACTCTCTCATCTGATTGACACCTGCAACCGAGTTAACATTCATAATGCCTTTAAAGTTGGTCGCGTGTACTGCACAGCAGTCCGCTCTGTTCTACTGTATGGCTGTGAAAACATGGCCATTGAAAGTGGAAGATATAAAAAGGCTTCTTGTGTTTGACCACCGTTGCCTCCGTAGTATAGGCCGTATTCCGTGGTGTCACCATGTGAGTAATGCAGAAGTTAGGTGTAGAGTTTTGGGGAGAAGAGGTAAGTCAGTTGACGAGGTTGTGAACCTTCATCGACTGAGATGGTTGGGACATGTACTACGTATGCCTAGTCACCGATTGCCTCGTCACACAATGTTGGCCGAAATAGGTCCAGGCTGCAAAAAGGCTCGAGGTGGCCAGACTAAAACATGGCACCAATGTATGAAGTCTCTGACTGTTGGTTTGAGCCATGTAGGACGATGCAGACTAAGTGGTTGGGGTTCACGGGACAAGAGGAACCAGTGGTTGGAGACTGGTTGTAGGTGATATGGCTCAGAACCGAAGTCAGTGGCTCAGATGTATACACACATTATCCTCATCCTAACAACGCTATACCGAATCTCACCATTTTGTCAATCCTCTTTCCTTTTTTCTCGTACTTTATATTTCTTTTGACTGCATTCACTTATCTTCATCCTTCACCTCACTACCTTTTTACTTGATGTGCTGATATGAGGTGTGGCAACTCGGAGTGTTACGCAGTAATGCCTGGTCCTATGTTGATAATGATGATGATGATCAAAGTTATTTATCACATTCTTTCTAACCTCACCCATCCTCTACGAGTCCGTCTTTTACATACAGCAGAAGCCATAGGAATCCAACTAAACAAGCCAAGTCTGTGTGTTCACAAGAGATACGTTCAGCCTCTTTCTTTGCCTTGGTCATCTGTATAGCTCATTTATTACAACAAGATTCTTCATTTCATTCATCACACAATTGACTATAACTAATATTTTAATAGCTCCATTATTATTATTATTATTATTATTATTATTATTATTATTATTATTATTATTATTATTATTGTTAACACAGATTTAGCCATCTTCCTCTCCCCCTACTGTCTCTAATTACCGTCAACATTTTGCCATTTTACATAACAGTCCATTTTCGCTCTTTACCCACCATTATACAAAATATCAGTTGTGTAAGAACCTGTTCACAGAATCTTTCTACTCTAATTACTCTATGCTTTAGTTAATTGTCTTAATTACCTCATCAATTATCAGCTTCTTGATACTTTGAGATTGATAAGCTTTCATTGAACAAGTCTCACCACTAGATTGGTATGTAATAATATTACTTTTGAAAATGCTATATTAGTGTAGAGCTATTCATTGATGAGGAACTAATAATTGAGAAGAAATATTTCTTCGATCACATTGTTTGTTTTACTAAATATCTTCATTTCAATGATAACTAGAAAAATACTGTTTATTATCCTGCAGTATTATCGTCTTATTCATTTGAAAGTTCTAAGTTTCTTTCTCGTTACCCTTTAACCAAAAGAAAAAAATTAGTCTACAAAATATCATAAACGAACCTAACACTTTATTCGTAGGTAATGGATATCAAGAAGTTATAGACTGGTTAAATCATTAATAGTGTTGATAGATAATACACGATGGTAGAGTCCAGGAGATGTGTTTTGTTCAATCTATGGCTCATCTAATTAATGATTGTATCCGCCAGTCAATGAATGATATTGTTCCAACTAAGACTTGAACTGAAAATCGATTGCTTTAAACGTCAGAAGACTATCTATCTACTAGGTTAGTGAATCATGAAAGCCATTCCTTATGCCATAGATATTGGTTAAATTGAACTTATTGGCCAGTACTGATGTTTGGGTTTCCGTGCAGATGCTTCAATATTTTTGGTATTTCCGACTTTTTATCAGTAATGGATAGTGATAATAATAAACAATTCCATTGGATAGTATATGGCAATATTAACTGATCAATTCAGATCCAATCAGTGATAGTGATTTACAAGGTATGATATCAAAATAGTTAAGTAAGGGTGTGTAACGACTTTTGTTCCGTAGCTAAACAATCAGAATTATCGAAAATTAGTATTTTGAAGGGGTTGTGGAGGTTTGGAAATATTTCAAGTTGTTATTCATCGAAGACTGACATCGCGGAACCTGAAGGTCACGGGTTCGATCCCTGCTGGTGGGGTCGTGAGTGCGCACTGCTGAGGAGTCCCATACTAGGACGAAACAGCTGTCCAGTGCTCCCAGGTTTCCTTTGTTCTTCCAACTGATGTCAGTCTTCGATGAATAACAACTTGAAAATTAGTATTGATTGAAGAGTAGCACTCATCAACTTGGTCACTGGTATTTGCTCTAATATGAACTTTGATTGGTTGATATTATTTTTATTAGTTTCTTAAAGACGCTGCCAGTAAAAACTGACGACTTGGCAGTCTGAATGATGGAAATTTTGTCGATCACTCCCTATCTGTCACACTAACGGAAGTACTGCTAAAACGTTTATGTGTGTATATATGATAGGCTTAAGTAGTCTATTCATCAAGAGCAAATGTAGCTGAATGTTACAAAAAATGCACCTTTTTGTCTTCAGATGGATACTTATTCCTCTTTATCACTAAGTGAAGAACTCACATTTTCATGAAAAAAGTAAAGAAATTCAAAGCAATGGGAAGTTAACGAAATTTCCAATCTACATGCCAAAACATAAGTACCTCCGTGTTTAAATGTAGCGTTTTTTTGCTTAATTGTATCGATAGGATCTTTTAACCTATAAAGCTTGTTTCTAAGCGAGTTTGTTAGTTTAGATGCCAGCCACTTTATTCCCAGCCAGCCTTACTCAAAAATCTTCTTAATGCTTCTGATGTGTCTTCCTTGTATGGTAACGGCACAGAGGCTTTGAAATCTCTCTTAACTCTGTCGCAATTAAGCAATTAATCTGGTTTACCAGATCCCTTGCAATGATTACGAGGTCAAGTACATAGGTCAAAGCAGGCGACCAGGATTGATCAGAATAACAAAGCACCGAAACTTAGCTAAATCAAGGTTAACAGATCCTAATAAGATAAGAAATTTAGAGAAAAGCTCAATTATAGCTCTGCATATGATGACACACAATCACACAGTAGGGTGGGATACAGAGACAGAGTTAAATACCAACTTAGTTGGGTGGAGGGAGAGATTGATAACCGAATCATCATTGTCTATTGAATCAACACCAAATAAATGCAGTAACAGGAATGATTCGGTACCTGTCCCAGATATATGGAGAGTTCTACTACTCTTGTCATCACAGAGAAGGAGAGAAAATTAGGAATATACAAAGTCTGTCTTGAAGTTGTGGAGTTACCTGACATGAATATAGACAATAAATTGTATTCGAAACGTTATCCAGTAAATGCTACTGTTTCACTGTGTGATATTTCTAATAAACAGACTAAAATGGAGTTTGTTCTTCTGTCATCTGCATTACCTATTTAGTGAACATAGTTAGAAGGGTAGAGATAAATGATTCATAGTAATGTTGAAACATGCTATCAAAATATCAGTTTCACGAAGGATGTGTTGTACTGACTTCAACAGAGTGTAGAAACTGAAGCGATTGGCAATTTTGAATATGAAATTGTTCACTAAAGTACATTAAAATAGTTTTCAAGGTGAAATATAATCAAGACAAGCCTAGAAACAAATAGGAAGATACCATTATGTTGTTAATGGTAACTACATCTTTAAGAAAATTGCAAATGGCTAAATTTTCAATTCTGATCAAAGTAAAACTGTGGAATAAACCGGTTTCCGCTGTGTATATCATCTCAGTATCTCTGAGCATATGATAAAGTCTTTCATGTTTGGGAAATTCCTTGTTTAACCATTTATCTTGTAAATGACTTTCAATGAAGATTTTGTTATAATGATGTGGTCAGTGTTGGCGAAGATTTTAACAGTCGCACTTCTGATGAACCTAACCCTTTTATGGACACTTGGGATAGAGTTCGCAAGGTTCTTTTAAAAAGGATATGCCTGGAAAGACCAATAAAAGTAACTCTATGGTTTGAAAGTGTATAAAACTACTGTTGTACAGCTGTAGAGGATGAAATAGCCGAAAGTTGTTTTCACTGAACGTTTTATCTCATTGAAAAATCACTATTAACGATCTATTTAATAAAAAGATAGATGATGCTTTGGCGTTCAGGTCTCAGTAGGAACACCGTCTTTCACTTGGATGCAGGTATCTAAAATAGAACGAAATACGCATCCTAGATTCAACTGCTAGTCATCAAGTACACTGTAATATAGCAAATATTTGCTCAGTATATAGATATCCACATACTTCATTTCGCTTCAATCACCAATTTTATGCTATCTAGTTTTGAATAACGATCGCATTATGTTGATCA